TGCAAAGAGAAAACCAGATCCAAAAAAAAAAAAAAAAAAAAAGCATTGTCCAGGAGCTTTTTATCTGATGTTTTCTTCTAGTTTTATGCTTTCGCATTTTAAGTCTTTAATCCTTTTTGGGATGATTTTTATATATGGCAGCATGAGGTAATAAGGATCCTATTTCACTTGTATCCATGTAGATATACAATTTTTCCAATATTATTTATTTAAAAAACTGTCATTTTCCCATTGTGGTTTTGGTACCCTTGCTAATTATAAGTTGACCATACATGCATGCATTTATTTCTGGGCTCTCTACTCCATGTCTGTCTTTATGCTGGTACTGTATTGTTTTAAGTTACTGTGGCTTTGTAAAGTATTTTGAAATAAGGGAGGTGTGATGTCTCCAGCTTGGTTCTTACTCAAGATTGCTTTGGTTAATTGGGGTCTTTCATGGTTTCATTTGAATTTTAGCATTTTTTTTCTATTTTTATAAAGAATGCCACTGAGATTTTGATAGTGATTGTGTAGGCTCTGTAAATCACTGTGAGTAATATAGACATTTGAATATTATTGATTCCTTCAGTCCATGAACACAGAAGTCTTCTCATTAATCTTTGTTAATTTCTTTTATCAATGTTTTATAATTTTTTGCTGCACAAGTCTTTTACTTCTTTGGTTCAGTTTACTCCTAAGTATTTTATTCTTTTTGTTGCTATTGTAAGTGGAACATTTATCTTGGTCTTGATTTCCTTTTTGTTTAGCTCACTACATATAGAAACAATTGGTTCTGTATACTGATTTGTATCCTGTAACTTTACTAAGTTTAAGTTTTTTCCTTTTCTTTGAGTCTTTAGGGTTTTCTATATGAATAGCAGTTTTCCTTTATTGATGAGGGAATTACTGCAAGACTCCTATAGAAACCACAGACTGTACTGAACCATATATATATATATATATAAATAAAGTTTTTTCTTTATATACATATCTACGATAAAATTTAATTTATATACTAGTCACTATAGGAGATTAACAACAATAAAACAATACTTATACTGTAAAAAAGTTATTTAAAACTTACAGCTTATTTCTGGAATTTTCTTTTTAAAATTTTCAGATAACTAATATCAAGCAAAGCAAAATTACAAAGTAGAGTCTACTATACAACTGTGTCTTCTATAAACAGCATTTTATTTCTTTTCTGATTTGAATGTCTTGTTTCTCTTTTCTTGTCTAATTGCTCTGGCTAGGATGTCACACTACATATATTGATTTTTTTTTTTTTTTGAGACAGGGTCATATTGCTATGCAGTTCAGGATGGCCCTGAATTCACTTATGTCACCTAGGCTGGGCTCAAACTCTCGGTGATCCTCCTGGCTCAGCCTTCTGAGTGCTGGGATTATAGGTGTGCATTACCCCACCCGGCTGGTCTTTATACACTACTTTGAAAAGAAGTGTGACTACTCAGGAGGTTGAGGCAGGAAGAACATAAGTTCAAGGAGTCTCAGCAACTTAGTGAGAATCTGACTAAAAATAATAATTACAAAAAAAGCTGGGCATGTAGTGCTGAGTGTTCCCTGGCCAGATTTTTGCACCAGATTTTTTTTAGTTTTTAATTTTTTAATTAATTTTATTGGTATATTTTAGGTATACAACATAATGACATCCATCATTGGAAATTTGTACCTTTACGTAATACATCTTGGTTCTTATTTATTTTGTCATTCCCCTGCTCTCCCTTCAACCCTTTCACCCCTATTTACAAAGACTGTTTCCATTTTTTTCCTTTTCTCATATTAATTCCATTCCCTTCTTTCCTTTCCCAACCCCTCCCACTTCCTCTTCCCCTTTGGACCTTTTCTTCCTATTTTACATTATCTATTATACGTTTTGACCCTTATTTACACTTTCAGTTTCTCACACTAGAGAAACTATTCGGTATTTACACATATCTGTCCTATTATTTTCACTTAAGAGTGTGGCCTCAAAGTGCCTCCATTTAGCTATAAATGTCTCCAATTTCTCATTCATTATGGCTGAGTAGTACTCCATTGTATAAAAAAAAACACCCTATATTTTCTTTATCAGGTCTCCAGCTGATAGGCAATTGGGCTGTTTTCCAAGTCTCACAACAGCTATTACAAACTGTTGCACCAGATTTTAAAGGGATAGTTTTTAGTTTTCTCCCATTGATTATAATGCTATCTATGTGGTTTTGATATAGCCTTTATTATGTTAACATTAGTTTCACCTATTCCTATTTTGTCAAGAGTTTTAATCATGAATGGATGCTGAACTTTGTCAAAATGTTTTTATGCACCTATTGAGATATTCACGTTTTTTCCCTACGAGTTCTATCGTATTGATCAATCTACACTACTGAACCATTCTTGCCTCCTTGGGATAAATCCCACTTGTTCATGGCTTATGATCCTTTTAGTGTGCTACTCAATTTGGTTTGTTAGTATTTTAATGATAACTTACTTACCTATGCATATTGGCCTATAGTTTTCTTTACTTGTATTATCTTTGTCTGGTTTTGGTTGCAAGGTGATCCTGGCCCTACAGAATGAGTTTGGAAGTGTTTCCTCTTCTATTTTTTGGAAAGCAATAAGAACTGAGTTAGTTATTTTTGGTTATGTTTGGCAGGATTCACTCATGAAGCCATGTGGTCCTAGGTTTTTCTTTGTTGGGACACTTCTGATTACTGATTCAATCTCCTTATTTGTTATTGATACATTTTGGTTTTCTATTCCTTCTTGATTCAGTCTTCATAGGTTGTATATTTCTAGGAATTTATCCATTTCTTCTAGGTTATTCCGTTTTTTTGGCATATGACTGTTCCTATTCCTTTTGGTTCCTTTATTTTTGAGGCATCTACTGTCGTTTCTTCTCTTTCAGTTCTGATTTTATGTGAATTTTCTCTCTGATTTTTATTAATCTATCTAGCAAAGGGTTTGTCTATTCTATCTTTTCAAAGAAACAAACTCAGTTTTGTAGGTTTCTCTATTTTGAAATTATCCATTTGATTAACTTTTGCTCCAATCCTTTTTTTTTTTTTTTTGGTACCGGGGATTGAACTTGGGTCCTTGTGCTTGTGCAGCAGGCGGCGAAACCACTGAGCTAAATCCCCGGCCCAACTCCAATCTTTATTATGTTCTTTCTTCTACTAATTTTGGGCTTAGTTTGATTATTCTAATTTCTTAAGGTATAAAGTTGAGACATTTCTTTTTTTAATACAGGTGTTTCCATAAACTTACCTTTTTGTATTGCTTTTGTTGCATTTCATAGATTTCAGCATTTTTTTTAAGGTATTTTAAAAATTTATCATTTACTCAAACACCCAATGGATATTCAAAGGTATGTTTATTTAATTATTTATTTTTTATTTTTTGAGGCAGGGTCTCCCTTTGTAGCTCAGGTTGGCCCTCAACTCACTATGTAGCCCAGGCTGGCCTCGAACTCACAGCCATCCTCCTACCTCAGACTCCAGTGTGCTGGGATTACAGGCGTGCACCACCATGCCCAGGAAGTATGATGTCTAGTTTTCGTGCATTTTTCTGGTTTTCTTGTTATTCTGATTTCTACTGCATTTCACTACAGTCAAAAAAGATATTTGGAATGATTTCCATCACCTTAAATTTGTTAAGAGTTGTTTTTTGTGAACATACATATGATCTGTTCTAGTAAATGTTCCATGTGTACTGAAGAAGAACATGCATTCCTTTGCGGTTGGGTAGACAGTTCTGTGTATATTTATGTCTTCCTTTTGATCTTTTTATTAGACATACGCTTAGACTTAAAAATCTATTCTGTCCTATATAATTATAGCCATTCATCATGATTTTAGTTACAATTTACATGAAATATCTTTTTCATCCTTTCAACTTTCAGCCTATGTATGTCTTTTAAAATGAGTCTCATTTAAACCAGGTGTGGTGGTGCATGCCTGTAATCCCAGCACTCAGGAGGCTGAGGCAGGTGGATCACTGTGAGTTCAAGGTCGGCCTTGACTACCTAGTGAGTTCAACTGACCTTATCTTAAAAAACCCCAAATCCAACCCTCTCCCAAAAAGTCTCATTTGGATAGCATACTCTATGCCTTTTGATTGGTGAGTTTAATCCATTTAATTTTAAAGCAAATATAATTAAGTGAAGACATTACCATTTTGTTGTTTCCAGTATACTTGGCAATTTTCTTGCTCTTCTTTTCCTCTTAGCCATTGTAAGAGGCAAACCTGTGTCCTGCTTCTCACTATTAACAGGTTCATCTTCTGTTTTTTAAGATCAGTTTCCCTTATTTGTATTTTTATTTTATTTTATCCCATCCCCCCTCAAACCCTCTCCACTCCCTACATACAAAAGCTTTGCCATTTTTTCCTTCTATTTTCACTTCTTTTCTCGTCCCTTTCTTCCTCCCTTCTCCCTTGTTCCCCCCTTCCCATTTTGAACACTTTGTTTCAATTTCACAACAAACATTATACATTTCAGTCCTTATTTCCACTTTCAGTTTCTCACACCAGAGAATGAATGCAATTTTGTGTGTGTGTGGTTAGCTTAAGGCTCACGCATCTTTTACTTATATCCTATTTAGGTTGATAACAACTAAACTTTAATTGCTTACACTTTCACCATCCCCACTCTACTACACTTTGATTATATATCCATTAACAAATTTTTTATAATTTAACTCTCATATTAAAGTTAAAAGTAAATTACATACCTTGGTTACAGTGGTATATTAACCTGCACCTCTGTATTTACCTTCACTAGTGAGATTGAAGCACTTGATTCCATTTCTATACATATTTTAATGCCTTGCTCAAAACAGACATATTTTGACATGTTTTAATCTTGAATGCATATATTCTGAGAGTATCAATGACACAGAATGTTAACAGGTAATACTTTTTGAAAACCATTCATTTGGAATTCAGGGTATTTTGAATACTTAGGAGTTATATATAAGTTAAAACAGTATATCCATGAAAAAATAAACTTCTCTAAAGAATCTTCCGTATCGCTTGGCTAAAATTTTAAAGAGTAACAAATTTTTGCCCTTGATTTCTTTTTTTAAACCAAGACTAGCTATTTTGGGAGTACACAGTAATTCCCAAGGTCACACATTTTACTTTAAAAAAGATGAATACATTATACCTTTGTATCCGCCCAAATCCCCAGCATGTAAATTAAAATAAACATCTTTCATATGAATCCATCTAAGAATGCCAAAGTTTGAAGCACTTCTAGAGTGGAAGGTTGCTAAATATAAAAATTTTTTAAGATCTTGCTTGTAAAAATGTAACAGTTTTCATACTTAATGGGTACACTAACCTTTGGGTTTTGGTGGCACAGGACCTACAAATCCAATATTGTCATAAAAGTTATGAATAGCGCTGGGATTAAAATGTGGTCCTGAAATATATAAAAAGTAAATATATCAATGTTTATAGCTCAAAAATACTTTTTAAAAAAAGTAAGCATTTCGTTCTAAAAATACTTCAGTATAAACAGAAGAAATGCTCTTCAATTTCATCTCTAATCTCAAATTATAGGTAAGATCTCAAAAACATATTTCAAAATATAGGTATAATATAGCATTCATAAACAGAAGTAAATGGTAAATTGGGAAAAAGTCAAATTAATGCTGGTAAGAAAGAATTAGAAGTAGATTCCTCTTCTGTGTAACAAATTAACTTAAAATTTAACAATTTAAAAATTAATATGAAATTATCAAACAGGGACTTAAGCAACTATATAGCCTAGACCCAAGGAAGTATAAAAGCTTTGTGCTAGTGTGATATAATGATTTAGGAGGAACAAGTTTAAGGACTACAGTTTCTAGACAAGCAGTAACTTTCTTTTCTCTTCAAAGTTTAAACTGTGGCATTTTTCTGTGAATGCTTCAAGATAAATAGCTACCAACATTTTAAAAGAAATTTAAATAAAATTCACTTCAGTAGATGCTGGAACACACTCAAAAGTGTGATTTAGGACTTCGTCTTTTATTCATTTCCTTCCTTTTTCTGTCTTTCCTACTTTACATATTTCTAACATTTCCCCAACTTCAGAATTATGTTTAGATAATAAAAATTCTTTTTAGTTTTCTATGGAACTGAATTAAACTACAAACATTTTTTACTACAATAAGAAATTATTGCCTGTTATTAAGAGCTTATGTATAAAAAACTTATCACTGGCCAAAGAATAACCATACTTCTGTTTTCTTCTCTATTTTATGAATTAAAACAGTGCCACTGAGATATGGGGCCATAGTTCTTGAGATGTAAAAGGAAAAAAGGGAAAGTTATATGAATATACTTATATCAGTAAACACCGTGTAACAAGTTCTACACACATAAAAGCAATATACCTGACTATGCAGCTGGACACACTAATCATTGTCATCTCTTTACACATGATTAAAATGGACATGAAGGATATATAAAATATGTCAATATGTTAAGTTATGCTTGAACCAAGTACATAATTTTGGGGGCGGGGGGAGAGGGGTGGACCAATAGTTCTTTAGTGCGATTTGGTTCCAAAGCCAAAAATCCTGTGACAGTAGGATTATGATTATAAGTCTGTTCTCAGCCACCACAGGAATTGGCAGATCAATTCAATTAATTTCAGCTGAGTATGCACTGAACTTTACCTCGGGCTTGAAAAAGATCAATTTCTTTGGTTAAGCAGTCAATGTCAATCTGGAGTTGTCTATTACAACTTCTTAACTGCTGCATTTCTTCAAGCTGAAAAATAATTCCATGTAAGAAAGATTTGCATTGAATTTTCATGTCATTAGTTAAGAAAGAAGAGTTTGGCAGGAGAAGATAAGGTCAGAAAAACAAGTATAAATTATTTACAGAAACTAGATCAATCTTTTTACACTATGGCAGACAGCCTATTCTCATATTGAAGCACAGAGGTCACAACAGTTACACAAGACTTACTGAAGGTATTTGGGATATGGAATTTGATCTTTTCAGGCGCCTTCGAGTTAGATTATTTTCCATTTCATTGACCTCAGATTTTAGTTTATCCAGCTTTTTCTTTTGAATCTCAAGTTCTCTTTGAAGTCGTTCCATTCTGGCCTTCTGGTGTACCAATAGAGCTGCAATACATATTGGTAAAGGTGAGAACCCACCCACTTTAGTCAATTAATCTTTAAGCAAACTTGGGAAAAGAAAATAAATGAGTATTTCTGTGTTAAGAATTTGCCAAGAATCCCAAAGCTACATTAAAAGAAAATACTGTAAGTTTAAACATTTACAATTTCAAAAGTTTTAACTTGGAATTTGTTTTAATCAATTAAGCAAATGTTATCGACTTTACTTTAAAAAAAATTTTAGGGTTTATATTCACTTTCTGGTAAACAGTATTTTTGGCCTATTACTTTTCTGAAGATTTTAGTCTAGTTAATTAACCTACTAAGTGCTGTCTAATTCACATCTCATCCCATATTAGAAGACAGAATAAAAAGAATTAAAGACAATATGATTAACCTAGAGGGCAAAAGGAAGAAAAGAAGAAATAGAAAACTAAACAAAACAACCCAATAGGAATAATCCCAAATGTATTAGTAACCACAATAAATACAATATAATTAAGTGTATTCAATGACACAAAAGACCCTCAAATATTTAAAAATATTTAGCTACATGCTGTTTATAAGAAACACATTCCAAATATAATTCACTCACCAATTCTTTTAATAAGCTGGAAGCCTGTTAACTGACTGTGTCAATTTGAGTAAGAAACACCCAATTAAATTGGATCAGCATAGCTCTGGGTGTGGCTGAAGGGATTTACTGAAGACAGAAGAACCACCCTGGGTATGAGTGACAGCAACCAACAGGCTTGCTGCCTGAATGGAATAAAAGGGATATGAAGAGGGAAGACTCACTTCTGTTTCTTCCGAGGCTCTCCAGTCTTCACTTTTTACCTTGGACATCATCTCCTAGCATAGACTCTTCAGCTTTTGTCAGAGACCTTTGGCCTCCTAATATGGACTCACTAGAGTGAGCTCCAGGCCTTCAACTGGATCCTTTGGATCTCTAGTGCACCCACAGACCTTTTGCACTCTTCCACACCCGACTCTGCGGGTTACCACTGTAAGCTAATCTTATAAATTCTTATATATTTATATATCTTGCATTAAATCTGTTTCTCTAGTAAGAATTGTCTGATACAGAACCTACCAAGTGTCAGGTATTTCGCAAGTGACTGGAGAAGTCAATGAACAAAAAAGCTGCTTACATGACAATGGTAGGAGAAACTGAGGCAGAGGAAGAGGGCTGGAACAAAACTGAATAAGCAGTCACTAAAATTATGGCTCACAGGCCAAACTGGGCTGTTTTATAAATAAAGTTTTACTGAAATACAGCCCTCTTCATTTGTTCACTTGTCTATGGTTGGTTGTTTTCATGTTTCAACAGCAGAGTAGACTAGTTATGACAGAAACTATGTGACCTATAAAATCCAAAATGAGTTACTAACTGGCTCTGTATCAGATTATGTAAAGCCTTTTGACCATATTAGATTGTGAATTAAATGGGGACTCATCCCGCACAGAAAAGTTCAGATGAAAATGACCGAAGTTAAAATAAATATCTTGTGCATCCTCAGAAGCACAGTAATAGCAGCCACTTAGCTGGTGGTATCTGAAGACTGTACACTGAAGGAAATGACAAAATCCAAATCCAGCTCCTGACTAAATTGATTCAACTTCTTATACTAACAATTTGATAGAAAAACAAGTGTCCCCATTTTTGGGTGTAAATATTATTTATTTCAGTTCATTTTCACACAATGCTTGACATTCAATAAAAAGAATTAGGAGAGATACATAAAAGCAAGAGAAACCCCAGAGAGATAAAGAACAGAAACATATTCAGGGATAACTCAGATGCTGGAGCTATCTGACAGGAAAGCTAAAAATAACAATAATTAATACGCTAAAGGATCTAACTTAGAAGATGGACAAGATGCAAAAATAGATGGATAAATTGAGCAGGTAGAAATTACCAATGAGTCAAATACTGGAAACAATATAGGATCAGAGATAAAGAATTTCTTCAACAGGCTTATCAGCACAATGAACAGACAAAGATCAATGAACTTGACGATAGAAATTGCACAAATTAAATACAAAGAAAATAATGGAAAAGAATAAATTCATGAGCTTTGGCGTAACATTTTTTAAACAGCATGATGTAGTAGAGAAGACAAAAACAAGGCAGAAAAATATGTGAGGCAATAATGGCCAAAATTTTTCCAAAATTAACGAAACACACCAAATCACAGGTCCAAGAAGTCCAGAGATCTCCAAATAGTATTAAAACAACTACACATATCATAGTCAAACTGCTCAAAACCAAAGATAGAGAAAAAAATCTTGAAGGCAGCTAGAGAAATTTTAATATAGATATGAGGTAAAAAAGAAAAAAAGCCATTCATTTCAAATACCTCTTTCCAAAAAAAAACAAAAAAAAAAACAACTTTAAAGCCCAACATGTTATGAGATAAAGAGGTTCTTAATGACAAAAAGGAAAAATACTAGTAAACAACTCTCATTCTGTACGGAAAATCATAGACGAAACTCTCTTTTCCAATGAATGCACCATTAGAGCATACATTCCAGGATTCTCCAAACCATGGCTCTACCAGTAACTCCAATCTGATATTTTTTTAGGTTTCTATCAAAATAGGAAAGTAAGTTGTATGGCTCAGCTACAGAGAAGGCCAATTAGTAGAAACAGCTTTCAATATAAGGCAAAAACCTGATTCAAAGATTTGGAATCAAAGGAGCCACAGTTGGTGAGGGTATGGCTCTGAGATGTTTTTAAAGTTTAAAGAATTAATTCTTCAGAAAGTTTGAAAAAAGTAAAATATTGCATCTTTGGTAATTTATAAAGAAAGGAGTTTTGCAGCGGCTTAAGAAGTAGCTATCACAGGACTGGGGCTCTAAAGTAAAATACCGTAAATATACTGTCTTATAATTTAAGAGGTATTTCTTTTTAGTTTAAACAAAATTTTAGAGTAGAGTTATAATAACTATGTTGCTTAGAAGTGACATAGTTGGTAATTACTTAGGATCTTTCAGGTATGTCTTCTAGTTATAAACAAACTAAAATGCTTAGAAAATAGTAAGAAAGAGCTACCTCTATTTCTCTGCAATTCTTTGTTTATCTTTAGTTCACCTTTCAATTGTGGTTTGGAACTTTTAGGAATCTGAGAATGTTCAACTATAGAGGAAAAAAAAAAGGTCAAATTAATTTCTAAAAATCAATGAAAATTAAGCTAAAAGCTAAACTTTTCTCTAGCTATGGTTTCTGCAAATTTAACTTCTGCTGTATAAAATAGCTCCAAATACTTGTGCATTATGAAATACTGTTACAATGATCCTGAAGGATAATTATAGAAAGGTGTTTTTGCTCTTTATCAACTTCCACAAAATGGAATGGTGAATAGATAGCAAGAAAGATGACAATTATACCTCCAGGGTCTAAAAGAAAAGGAGGGCTGGACAGCTTTCAAATTGATTGGGCTTACTGGGGGAGGCTAGGCACTTACATCTGTTATGGAAAATGATTTTGAACAGGGACTTGAATAAATTACTTATACTGGCTTTCTGTTTTTTGTTTTGGCATACACATAGTTTTAAACAAAATCACATCAACCACACATACAGACAAACTAGAATCATGCACAATCTAGCAATATAGCAATTTGTTATATAGACCTCAGGAAAGGAAAAATTATTTTCCAATCCTGTATTAATTTACATACAAATTAATGTTGACTTAAAAGGCTAAGCTATAAAGATTCAATTATACTACCCAGGACTCTAGGGGTGGTTGACATAGCACTGTACTGAAATATTTTCTGTCTCCAAAAAGTCCACGAAAATGACACAGGAATTCACCTGCTACAATCCAACAATAAAGAAAGAAGGCAATTGATGGACAGTAGAATTCAATTCTAGAACACCAAAGCTGTTGAAACTACAAAGACTAATGAACAGTAGCGAAAGCTGTAGTCTCATGGACAGGAAGGGTGCTGCAGACAAAGAGATAGCTGCCCTGTGCTGAAGAAGCCTGAAGAAGTGCTTGACTCTGGAGAATGCAGGCAACAAGTGGAGAGATGTGAGTAATGAGACAGAAAACAGCAGCCAACTTAGCTATCTGGAACGGTCAACTTCTCCTCATCCTGAAGAGAAAGCCAGGTTACACACACATGGATATTTATTTTTAGCCCCTTGTCCCCGAAACCCTTTTCCGACTCTGGCTTCTACACGAGCATGAGATGGTGATGGTACAGTGTTCCCTTGCAGCAGCTGACTGTGCACCTACTCATCACAAAGCAAAGTCTGTCACGTGGCAAGTCTCATTTTCATTTTTCTTTTTTCTTTTTTGAGACAGAGTCTTGCTTTGTAGTGTAGGCTTGCCTTGAGCTCACTATGTAGCCCAGGCTGACCTCAAACGCACAGCAATCCTTCGCTTCAGCCTCCTAAATGGTAGGATTACAGGCATGCACCACCACGCCTGCCTGCAAGTCTCATTTTTGCATACAAGGCTTTCAGTCAGCCTTCATTGTACTTCATTCTTAGGTACAAAACATCAGCCAAGGATTATCTCTCACTTGAGGAATATCTGACCCATGAAGAACTGGACACAGTGAGCAAAACTAAACCTAGATTAAGTGGAAATAATCCAGGTGAAAGGAGAATTTACATTCTAACTAACATCATTAAGAGATTTGTGACAATACTGTATCCATAAAATAGCAAACCGCTATGAAAAAGGATCAGAAAACTAGCTATAAGGAATTAAATCACTGAAATGAAAATTTCATACATGAGTTGGAACAAATACTAAGAAAATCTCCTAAAATGTAAAACAGAAAGATAAGAAGGTAGGCCAGGGACATAGCTCAGTGGCCCTACGCCTGCCCGGCAAGCACCAAGTCTTGAGTTTGATTCCTGGTATGAGGTGCGGGGGATAAGGAGGTACAATATCCTGAGGATTTGATAATGGAAAAAGAAGGAGAAGGAGAAGAAAGCTGGTACAGTAGTTGAAGTTCTGTGTGTGTGGATATTTTTTGTTGTTTGTT